TTTCTATTTTTAGATTACTTGTAAGAACTGAAAATACATATCAGTTCGTAGGATTCTCGTGTAATTTTACACAAAATATCCAACAATCGCAAGAAGAATATTGTTGTCCTACCGAACTGATGGCTTCCACCGGAGAAGGTTCCAGCTCTCAGCAGCCGATCAACAACTATGTTCAGCAATATCAACCTGTACCTGCTGTTCAGGTCCCGACTGCTGAAAAACCCGAAAAATTCAACGGACTTGACTTCAAGAGGTGGCAACAAAAGATGCATTTTTACCAGACCACTTTGGGTTTGGTGAAATACCTGAAGGACGACCCTCCGGTCATTTCTGAAAATGAGACCAATGCAGAACTACGTGCTGCGTACGATGCTTGGGGGCAAGGTGACTACCTTTGCCGTAACTATGTCCTGAACGGGCTTAATAATGAGTTGTACAATGTGTACAGCTCTGTTGGTTCTGCCAAGGAGCTTTGGGCTGCCCTGGAGAAGAAGTACAAGATCGAGGATGTCGGGGCGAAGAAATTCGTCGTCAGCAAGTTTCTTGACTTCAAGATGGTTGACACAAAAACTGTCGTGTCACAAGTGCAAGAGTTCCAGCTAATCTTGCACGATATCCATGCTGAAGGGATGACCTTGAGCGAGTCATTCCAAGTAGCGGCTGTGATCGAGAAGCTGCCGCCAGGCTGGAAGGACTTCAAGAACTATCTCAAGCACAAGAGAAAGGAGATGAGTCTTGAAGATCTGATAGTTCGTCTTCGTATAGAGGAAGACAACCAGAAGTCATAAGGAAAAGTCCCGATGATGGAAGCTCGTGCCAACTTGCTGGAGCAAGGCAACTCGAGCAAGAGGAAGACCCAGAAAGCAGCCAGCCAAGGTTTGGAAGTTTACTGGAACTTGTTACAACTGTGGAAAGCCAAACCATATGGCGAAAGACTGCAAGAGGCCAAAAAGCTGGGCCAAATAAAGGGCAACCGAGTGCCCTTGTTGCTGAACACGGCCCAGTGCCGGGTGAATTGACCGACTTTGATATGTCGGCGGTGGTGTTTGAAGTCAATTTGGTGGATAACCCAAGGGAGTGGTACATCGATACTGGTGCCACTCGTCATGTGTGTTCTGACAAGGAGGTGTTCTCTGAATACACTCCTACTGCGGGTCGAAAACTTCACATGGAAAACTCCTCCACGTCTGATGTGGCTGGAGTGGGCACGGTGGTGCTAAAGCTTACTTCTGGAAGGGAGTTGAAGCTGAAGGATGTTCTGCATGTCCCATACATCCGGAAGAATTTGGTCTCGGGATTACTTCTTGTTGAGCCTGGATTTAGGCTTGTATTTGAAGATAAGAAGTTTATTCTTAGCAAATATGGAAAATTCCTTGGTCGTGGTTATATCGACAAGGGATTGTTCAAAATGAATGTAATGGTTGTAAGCCGTGTAACCGTTGATAATAAAAAGCCTATTTCTGTTTATACCGTTGAGTGCTCTGATGTATGGCATATTAGATTGGGACATGTAAATCTAAATGCAATAAAACGGTTGATGAAATTAGAATTAATTCATAATTCTAATGTTGATAAAAATACAAAATATGAAATTTGTATTGAAGCAAAAATGGCTAAGTTGCCTTTTCACTCGGTGGAAAGGAGTACTGAACCATTAGGCTTGATCCATACTGATGTCTGTGATATGAAAAGTGTGCAAACAAGAACCGGTAAAAAGTATTTTGTAACTTTTATCGATGATTGCACAAGGTTTTGCTACTTATATTTGTTAAGAAGCAAAGATGAGGCTGTGGAAGCGTTTAAGATATATAAGACCGAAGTTGAAAATCAACTCGGCAAAAGGATTAAAATAATTCGAAGTGATAGGGGTGGAGAGTATGTAGCTCCTTTTGAACAAATATGTTCTGAATATGGCATAATTCATCAAACGACGGCCCCTTATTCTCCACAGTCGAACGGTGTTGCTGAACGCAAGAACCGTACGTTAAAAGAAATGATGAATGCCATGTTGATTAATTCAGGATTACCACAGAACATGTGGGGGGAAGCTGTTTTGACAGCAAATCATATCCTGAATAAAATACCCCCTAAAGGGAAAGATGAGACTCCTTACGAAATGTGGAAAAATCATAAGCCGTCTTATAAATACCTGAAAGTGTGGGGGTGTTTGGCTAAGGTTTCAGTACCTGAACCAAAACAAATGAGAATCGGGCCAAAGACAGTCGATTGTGTATTTATTGGATATGCGTACAATAGTACAACATATAGATTTCTGGTTCATAAATCAGAAAATCCAGAGGTATCTGTTGGTACCACGATTGAGTCAAGGAAAGCTATATTCTTTGAGAATGTTTTTCCTATGAAGGAAAGGGCAGAATCTAGTTCTAATAAAAGAACGTATGAAAGTGCTAGTGGTTCTGTACCAGAAGGTACTAATGAAGAACCGAGACGTAGTAAAAGGGTAAAAACGACTAAAACGTTTGGACCTGATTTTATTACGTACATGTTGGACGATGAACCGAGTTCCCTTAAGGAAGCTCTGTCCAGCCCAGATGGACCACTCTGGGAAGAAGCTGTAAATAACAAAATTGAGTCCATTATGCAAAATCATACTTGGGAGTTGGTTGATCTCCCTGATGGTTGTAAACCTTTAGGATGCAAGTGGATCCTAAAGAAAAAAAAAATATAAAGCTGATGGATCGATTGATAAGTTTAAAGCACGTTTGGTGGTCAAAGGCTTTAAACAAAAGGAAGGGTATGATTTCTTTGATACCTATTCACCTGTTACGCGTTTAGCATCGATAAGAGTGCTTCTCTCGATTGTTGCGTTGCACAATCTTGAGATTCACCAAATGGATGTCAAGACGGCATTTTTGAATGGTGAATTGGAAGAAGAAATATACATAGAACAACCTGAAGGGTTTGTTGCACTTGGACAAGAGAGAAAGGTGTGTAGATTGATCAAATCCTTGTACGGACTGAAACAAGCTCCGAAACAATGGCATTTGAAATTTGATGACGTGATGTTGACAAATGATTTCAAAATCAACGAATGTGATAAATGTGTTTATGTCAAGGGTACATCAAATACATTTGTGATTGTATGTCTATATGTAGACGATATGTTGATCATGGGGAGTAGCCATGAAGTGATCATGGATACAAAAAGAATATTGAAAAGAAATTTCGACATGAAAGATATGGGTTTGGCTGATGTTATTCTTGGAATAAGGATTATCAGAACCCAAGATGGAATTGTCTTGTCACAATCTCATTATGTAGAGAAAGTGCTCAAGAAATTTGATACCTATGACGGTGCACAGTCTAGGTGTAAGACACCCATTGATCTCAGTATAAATCTGGAAGTCAACAAAGGTCAACCAGTGGCTCAGTTGGAATATTCACGGATAATAGGGAGTCTGATGTACTTGACGAATTGTACACGACCAGACTTGGCCTATCCGGTGAATAAGTTGAGCAGATTTACAAGCAATCCCAGTCATGAGCACTGGAATGCTTTGAAAAGGGTACTTAAGTACTTGAGGTACACCCTTGAATACGGGCTCAAATACTCGAGATATCTAGCCGTACTTGAAGGGTACTGTGATGCAAGCTGGATATCAGATTCGAGAGATTCTCGCTCCACTAGCGGATATGTTTTCTGTATTGGAGGAGGTGCAGTTTCGTGGAAATCCACAAAACAAACGTGTATAGCTCGGTCAACGATGGAATCGGAGTTCATCGCTTTAGATAAAGCTGGTGAAGAAGCAGAGTGCCTTAGAAAATTTTTTTCCGATATTCCATGTTGGGATAAGACTTTTCCGCCTGTAATGATTCACTGTGATAGCCAAGCTGCTATTGGTAGGGCGCAAAGAAACTTGTATAATGGTAAGTCTAGACATATTCGTCGTAGACATAATACCGTACGTCAATTGATCGCAAATGGTATTATTTCCATTGACTATGTGAAGTCTAAGGAAAATTTGGCTGATCCTTTGACGAAAGGATTGAATAGAGATCAATTGACAGTTTTGCTAGAGGGAATGGGCTTAAAAAACTACAATGTAAAGAATGATCATAGTGGTAACCCTACCATGCTGAGTGGAGATCCCACGAACTTGGTTCAAAGGGAAAACTAAGCTATCAAAATTCAGTTGAGCACTTGGAACAAATGAATGTTCAAAGCTATTCCCTAGAGCACTCCAAGTGCAAGATTACCTGTTGATTGTGGTGAGGGTAAGTCATATGGACTTTTAATGAATCCCTAACCTTGTAAAGGTGGAGTATTACAGGAGGATACTCTTGATAGGGAGGTCACCTATATAAGTGTGAAGTGTGGGCCGCTTCAAATGTAAACACTTATGAATCCATTGTGTTGTCCATGGCCAAAACGGACACAACGATTAGAACGGAATGGAGTTAAAACTCTATTGTGTGAATGTCATTATCTCGGTGTACACTATGGAGGAATAGTTCAA